TTCGGCCCGAAAAAAAAAACGACAGTGGTACCCCTTACGTTTTTTTTTTTTGGGCGAAAAATTAAGTTTCTCCAATCTTCCCAAAACTCTGGATTCTGATAGAGGGCCATGAGACTTAGACCTGAGTGCAAAAATGGAGGCTCTAGCCCCTTCCAGAGCTGAGATATCGAAACTCAAAAATTCGGCCCGAAAAAAAAACGACAGTGGTACCCCTTACGTTTTTTTTTTGGGCGAAAAATTAAGTTTCTCCAATCTTCCCAAAACTCTGGATTCTGATAGAGGGCCATGAGACTTAGACCTGAGTGCAAAAATGGAGGCTCTAGCCCCTTCCAGAGCTGAGATATCGAAACTCAAAAATTCGGCCCGAAAAAAAAACGACAGTGGTACCCCTTACGTTTTTTTTTTTTGGGCGAAAAATTAAGTTTCTCCAATCTTCCCAAAACTCTGGATTCTGATAGAGGGCCATGAGACTTAGACCTGAGTGCAAAAATGGAGGCTCTAGCCCCTTCCAGAGCTGAGATATCGAAACTCAAAAATTCGGCCCGAAAAAAAAACGACAGTGGTACCCCTTACGTTTTTTTTTGGGGGCGAAAAATTAAGTTTCTCCAATCTTCCAAAAACTCTGGATTCTGATAGAGGGCCATGAGACTTAGACCTGAGTGCAAAAATGGAGGCTCTAGCCCCTTCCAGAGCTGAGATATCGAAACTCAAAAATTCGGCCCGAAAAAAAAACGACAGTGGTACCCCTTACGTTTTTTTTTTTTGGGCGAAAAATTAAGTTTCTCCAATCTTCCCAAAACTCTGGATTCTGATAGAGGGCCATGAGACTTAGACCTGAGTGCAAAAATGGAGGCTCTAGCCCCTTCCAGAGCTGAGATATCGAAACTCAAAAATTCGGCCCGAAAAAAAAAACGACAGTGGTACCCCTTACGTTTTTTTTTTTTGGGCGAAAAATTAAGTTTCTCCAATCTTCCCAAAACTCTGGATTCTGATAGAGGGCCATGAGACTTAGACCTGAGTGCAAAAATGGAGGCTCTAGCCCCTTCCAGAGCTGAGATATCGAAACTCAAAAATTCGGCCCGAAAAAAAAACGACAGTGGTACCCCTTACGTCTTTTTTTTTTTGGGCGAAAAATTAAGTTTCTCCAATCTTCCCAAAACTCTGGATTCTGATAGAGGGCCTTTTGAAATAATTTTTTCAATCTTTTTGAGTGAAATTGAACATCAGCGTCAGTTCTGGCAGCCCAGGCAGTCAAGATGCTGCGAAAGCTGTCGGCCGACTACACGGTCTCATCAGTGATCGCTCAGAGCTACATCAGCACATCTGCTGTTCATTTCCCCTCGCAGCTAATGACCACACTCAAATCAGGGCGCCCTATTTAAGCAGATTCAGTTCGCTCCTAACTGCTCGCTGCTCACTCTCTGAAACCCATTTCCTCCTTGTCATGTATAACGTGGCATTTGCTTTTCTGCTTTACAATTTCCTAATCATTTTTTGTCATGTGTGTTCTTGACTTAATAGACCTGACAGAAATATGGAATATTTTGTGTGTTGTAGAATTTATTGTTAGAGCCTCTGAGTTTCCTGTCAAAGGAGAATGAAGACCTGCAGGCTCTTGTCAAGAAACAGACACATGAGATCTCTAAAACTGAGGTGAACAATACACTTTACAAAAAATAGTGAAACAATCTATCAACATTACTCTAAAGACTCCATAAAGGATCATAACAGGATTCATTACTATGCGTGATTCTTTTTTTTTTCCCTCAGGAAAGGTCTCGACAGCTCTCTTCTCAGATCTCTGCACAGTTTGAGGAGATGCACCAGTTCCTGAGGAAAAAGGAGGAGCAAGTGAAGAAAATATTAGTGAAAGAAGAGAAGGAAATGATTGAAAAGATGAAAAGAAATAGAGCAGAAATAGAAGAGAAGCTGAACGATGGAAGAGAGAAAGAAGGGATTCTACACTCAGTCTTTGAGTCCGATCAACCAGACGGGTTTCTGCAGGTTCAAACTTTGCATTCAGCACAATTTTCAGCACAATCATTTTTAATGTTATTCAGAAATATAATTTGGCTAAAAAAATAATAATTCGATTTTATACAGTTTGCATTGATTAAAAATCATTCAAATGTAAAGACTTTTTACCCTGAATACAGTCCTTTCTGCTGATTTAATCACCATAAACAAAACTGACAATCATAAACAATTATTTAAATATTAGCTATAATATAGAAATTAGGAAACACATTTTCACTATATCTTACATGTAGTTACCGGTACTATAGTAATAACAGTAAATTAGAAGCAATAAACCCTAAAACAAACCATAACCATAATTATATAGTAGGTACATCTTTGTAACGTATCCACTGGGAGACAAGTTTAACGAACCAATTTGCAGTTACCAAACAGACAAACAAATACAAAGACTTGACATGACTAAACATAATTAAGAAACAAGGAAGAAGAAACTCACCATAACTGATGTCAAGCACATGCAGATTGATATCTAAAAAATAGATCTTAATTAAAATAAAATAAAATGGATAAAATAACTAGCTTGGTTTGCTATCCCCGTCAGTTCATACTGCTGTTGACACTTTCTCTGACAAGTGGATGCATTGAGACCTGTTTGTTCATGTCAAATTTAAAATAAAGCATATATAGAACATTTCGAAAAAATGTATATTTAATATTTCTTGTTGCTTGCAATGACCTCAACACTGTCAGAAATAATGTGCAAAAATCATACCATTGTAAGTGTGAATCAATGGCCCAGTGAAATACTGTTGTACCCCTAAAGGTATTTTTGCATTTTTTTTTTTTGAGAGTGAGGAATCAGGTTTAAGAATGTGATTTTTGGGAGTTAAGAATGGACTAAAAGCACATAATTATTGCATGTATTGTACATAACATAATGCTGTGTTATTCATAGCTGCAGTTTTCATGACGATAATCATTTGCTTTGTCTGTTCTTCTCCTGTAGTGGTGGACTGAGAAAGGGCTGGCATTAGTTGAAGAGATGAAAGAAAAAGAAAGCGGCATTGAAAATAATGATAGTGCTTCTCAAACAACCAAGTATGACAATATACTGTAATGCTTGAGGTAAACATGACCGACTCTATCAGTTACATTCATCTCCTGCATTGTAGGTTCAAATCAACAGTGAAAAGCGTAAATTTCACACCAAATTCTTTATTCCTCGGCCTTCATGAGACTCATTTGCAGTTTATTGTGTGGAAGGAGATGCTGGGCTCTATCAAACCAGGTGAGGACACCAGTTATCCATATGTTGGCAACACTGTGTATTAAAATACATGTTAAAGTATATTAAAGATACTGCACACCTAATGGTGAACATAAAAAAAAATATTTAAAAGAATTACTGTTTCAAAACTTTTGACCAGTAGTTTTTGACTGGTAAGATAAGCTGCATTTATCTTTCAAATTTTTGTCTTTCTTAGTCCCTGATCGTAATGTCATACATGACTGTCATGACCCATACCTGAAGGTCTCCGGCGATGGGCGCAGCGTCATCCGCACATCCAAAAAGGGGATTTTTTTGCGTCACAAAGACTATAGGCCTCTGGCCAGGACCCACAAGACCTTCCAGTCAGGGCAGCACTACTGGGAGGTGGACGTAGGAGCGAAGACAGACTGGAGCGTGGGCTTTGATGGTGGCTGTATAAGCAACTTGAACAAGGACATTGGGCTTCACCTTAAGCATGACCAAGGCTACTGCATCAAAGAGTATGAGACAGTGACAGACATAGATCTGACAGTGAAACCACACAGGATAGGGCTGTACCTGGACTGCGACAGATGTCAGGTGTGCTTCTATAATGCCGATGACATGACTCTACTGCACACCTCCACATACCCTTCCTCCATCCCTTACTCGCTCAGCCTCTCTCCTGGAGCGTATCTGGCAGGGAAGAATGCTGATCCTATGACAGTGTCCTGGAACTGATCCGTCCCGGAAACAATTAGACACTTTATTAAGAAAGGAAGAAAGACCACAGGAGATTTTGTTCTTTATTTTAGACAACAAGGGAAATATATGCAAGCTTATCTGGCATTTCAGCCACATAAGAAACAAATCATGCTTTCGGAAATAACAATTATGACATAAATTGTCAAAATGATCAGATACTGTAGTAATTATGAGAAAAGTCAAAATTATGACATACTAAGACAATTATAAGTCTTATAAAAAAGATTTGTATCATTTTGTCTTTTTATGTGATAATTATAACTTTTATCTCATAATTTTAATTTTTTTAATCTTTTCATCTTAAATTTAGTCAATTTCAACCTTTTATCTCATATTTATGACTTTTTTTGTAATTTTTTTGTCTTATGTGGCAGAAATTGACATATATAGGAAGTAGTTTAAATGCAGCTACTATGGCTATAAAGTCACCTTCATTCTTTCAACATGGTTATTTGCAGTAAAAACAATATAGAGTATAGAATTATAGAATATATATATATATATATACACACACACATACATATGAAGAGTTCAGATGCAAAAGCCTCTAAGTGCCATTTGAAATTTTCTTCTAAAATGATTATTTTTATCAAGCTTTTATATTTAAGTTCAGTAATTTCACTTAAATTGCAATGAGGATTACCTATTAATTGTCATTTAAGTGAAATTACTGAACTTGAATATACAAGCTTGATAAAAATGATCATTTTAGAAGAAAATTTCAAATGGCACTTAGAGGCTTTTGCATCTGAACTCTTCATATATATATATAGTTAATGGACTTGGTTTGTTTGATATTAGAAGTGTATGGTTATACTGGCGCAACGAGTTTCAAGTCAAGTTTTTAATTTTGTATCTGTTCACGTTGGGTGTTAATAAATACTGCACTTGGGTTCTATCAAGCGCACCTTCAGTGGACTATCTGTCACACTCATAGAGCCTCATCAATAGGGCATGCATGCGCTGCCACAACACTTACACTCTTCAGCAGCACCACACACACTTGTTTCGTTTCATCTTTTATTGGGTATATTTACAAACACCAACATGCATAGAGCTGATTCACAGGGAATTACAGAACTCAAGAGTTGGTACAGAACATATTATGCTTTAAGTGTGCTACCAGCGATGGGCAATACCACACAGAGCTACGCAACTCATCACCACACAAAAGTACACACACAAGTGATAGAAAGAGAGATAGATAGACAAGAGAAACAGATGAATAGCAGATAAATTGGTATAATTAACCACAAACAAACAGTACACTATATTTATAATGCAACATAGCCATTTCTTTCTCCAAAACATACTAATTTAATTCAAATCTCACAATTATAAATGCAGTTATAATGAAAATAACAGCTACAGTACATGAAAAATAATATAATAATGATAATAATAATAATAAACGATTAAGTCATGCATCATTGCAGTTTGCCCTGTGAGGTAAGACTATGATACTAAATATGATTTTCTACCGAACTCCTGCTTAACTCACAAACCATAACATTTTATTATATTTTTCTTCATTTTTAAGAGACATTAAAGTTCAAGCCAATTACAAAGATAACTTTACAAGTTCTGTCTCAGATTTCTTTTTCCTCGAAATACCGCCTAAACTATATCCTAAAAACAGTACCAATTGTCCCTGACAAAATAGTAGATACATAAATCCCAGACATAAAGTTTCAATTGTAAGCTTTCATACGCTACACTTACAGTAATGTGGATGCTCAGTTCTTTCAGTAATACTCAGTTGATACTGTATAGCTGGCTGCTTTTCTGCAATTGGAAGGAATCGTCCTGAAGGTAAGTCATCATGTGGTGTAATGGAAAAAGCTGTGTTCCACGTTACCGGGACAAGATTCATCTTTCGATTGCATCGAATATGTTTTTTGATTAGCAGCTCAGCTGAAAGCAATGCCAAGCCAGAGGTGTGACAAATGTATACTACACATGAGCATTCAATTGTGGGAAACACAGAGGGCCATTTAATGAACAAGAATTAGCAAGCTCTAATTTAAATCACCTTTCCCACTCCAGCCACTAAAGGGCTATACCTTTAGCATGAAGCATTTTTATCATGAGTGAATGTGTCCGTGCTCACAAACAAGTTGTATAGATGATTATTACCTTACATTTGCTACACACATTCATACACATTCATGCAGGTTTAGTATGTAAACCCCTGATTCAACGCATTATACTGATGCAGAATATCCATTCAAAAGAAAATCATCAATGCCATCAATCATATATGGGTTTCCCCAGCAACAAGCCTCATAAACAGTACAGTACAGAGTATGCATAGTCACTATCAAGCTCATGGTGATACAGATCTTACCACATAAGCCATCACACTGTAAGAAATATAAAAGAATCATCTACACTCTACCACACTAATATATTCGACTGTTACCATTGAGAGTTGCAATAATAACAATAAGACAATAATAATGTTGGTCAAAAATGTTCAAAAAAAAGTTTTTCCTTTTTTCTGGTAAGTGAGATAATAAAATTAGGGCATCTTCAGGCAACACAAAGTTCATCCATTAATTGTTTGTGTGCAAATTAGGATAAGAAATGATTACGATTTTGAGGAAAAAAATATTTTTTATTGTCAAGTAATTTGTTTATAGACTGACTACTAGTCAGTAAATCCCTAGCTTTTTAATTAAATAAAAACATTAATTGTATAATAATTTATAGTTAACTTCAGTAAATCTTTGATTTATGCACTAACGCAGCCCCCAAATAACCAAAACTCATTCCTTTGCAATAATGAAGTTGTGTGCATCTTTATAAAACATTGCTGGGCTGATGATATGACAAGAAAGGCTTTGGATAAAAAAAAGCCACATATGCATATTGGACTTAAAATTATGATGAAGTGTCGTTTTGCGAATATCCATTTTTTTGATGACTTTGCGCTGAGCTGTTTAATTAAGTAAGCTTGTGGGCAAGCCATTCGTTATGGCAGAACACCTAATAATAAATACAATATGATGGTTTTATTTTTTGTTAAACTTGATACTTCATTTCCCATTTCTATTTCCAGTTTATCTGTCTATCTATCTTTGTAAAATCTATCTATCTAAATATATATATATGTTAATAATTTATACAGTAATTTATAATGTTTTCTTTCGCATATATCACAGAAAATATTCCAGACATCACAAACCAGGCAAGAGGGTCAGAGATAAACGGATAAACACGTAACACGGCTACTAATAACTACGTCTATTATATGGTCTCTTTTTCCTTGAATGCTTTCCCCTGATAATTTTCCCACACAAACATACGGGCAGAATTAAAGATAAGTCACATGATAAGCGAAGCATAACCAATGGGAACAAGGCCCTCTTTGTGACCTTGACGACATCGAATCCAGTCGTGGTCCACACCTCCCAACAGAACAAGCTCCTCCCCCTTCCTGAAGCTCAGCTCGGCTCCAGTGCCTGTGTGGTCACACAGAGTTCTGACCCCCCTGATCAACCAGAACACAAGACTCAGAACATGGACAGTAATAGCAGCGTTGCTGTCGTTAAATAAAATTAAATGATAACAACAAAACCTCTACCTATAAATTCAAATCTCAGCTTAAAACCTGTTTGTTCTTGCAATATTATCAGTCATAGCGTGTATTTGCTTCATGTACTGCTCACTGTGTTTGTATGCTAACATCTTTCTATGCTGTCTACACTGTGCTGTGTTCATCGTTACGGAATTGAATATTTTGCACAATTTGATATAACTGCTAAACGCAACCACATTGGCTCTTGTTTTGGACTTGGCAAATATCCATTTTCCATATGACTGTGCATATTATTGACTGTATGATTGTCGTGTTATTGCTCTTTATTGTGAAGCATCTTTGAGCTTGGGAAAGGTGCTATATAAATTAAACATATTGTTATTTATAACTATTATTATGAAAACAATTAAAATAGGTTTCTTATTTGAACTGAAGCTGAAATACTGTGGATATATAATGTGGATATCAGATGAGTGAAATAAATTTACTAAAATGACTAACTGAAATGAAACTAAAACCATAAAAAATTTAACTGAAATAATAAATGGAAACTATTTAGAAATATAAATAAATGAATAAAATTGACAAAATACATTACAAAAAACTTAACTATTTAATAAAAATTAAATCTAAAAAGAAAATATTATATATATATATATATATATATATATATAAACTACAATAGTACATGAATAATATTAAAATAATACTGAGTAAAAATGTTCAAAGACAAAATAGATTGTGCTTCATGGGACAATGAGATATAATATTTGTCCATGACAAATCAAACTTAATGACTCTACAAATGTATTGTAAAGGAAAAAAGCATTTTCCTTTCACCTTAAAAGACGTACACAAACCTTACTATTTTTATCATTAAGTTAAATAAAAAAGGCCCTAAAAGTTTTGAACATTATTCTCATAAAATACATAAATGTAAATCACTTAAAAAAGAATGTAAATAATCCAATGAAACCTTTACCTCAGGGGCTTTGGCTGATCTCTGGTTTCATTTATCTTTTCATTTTCATCTTCTTCCTTATCTTTGTTTCTCTGGAGCTCTTTCTTCTCAGGCGGAGAAACCTGGCCAAGATTCACTATGCGAGAAAAGACGGATACGCCAGGAGAGAGCCACTGAGATGGACGTCTATAAACAGAATACAAAGATACGTCGCATGAATAAACCTGACACATCTGAAACAAACTAAACTGACATTTAAAAAAAAAAACATAAACAAACCTGCTTGTTGGTGGGTTGTTGGGGCTCTTAGAAGCTCCAAAGAGCCGTCCCATACCCCAGGGAACCACTGCTCCACTATCCCACAAGGAAAGATCCTCTCTTGGTTGCTGCCTGTTTTCAACTGGACTTTTTGGATTCAGGGAGAAGCCTGTCTTGAAGTCATCTTGTGAGTTAGGACCTTTAACATCCTCTGTGTTAGTGGCCAAACCAAAGTTCTGCCCTAAACGTTCCCCCAAACGCATTACTGCCCCCCAGCCTTGCTGAAGAGCCTGGCCAGCCTGCTGGGAAAGGCTTCCGACATTAAGAGGTGCGGAGGTCTCATTCCCGTTAAACCATGATAATGGCGGATTGGCTTCCTCCTTGGTGCTGCTTGATGACAGCGAAATTGGATTGCGATAGGCTGACACATCAAGAACCTGACTTGTGAGACCTGAATTAGGGTTGGTGTCTAAACCCAAAATGCCAAGGTCTTGCTCTAACATGCTTCCAAGATTTTGGCCATTTCCTTGGAAAATCCTCTTGGGTGACAAGCGGAAGCTGAAGTCTTCATTTGGCGGGCTATATGTGTCAGAAGTGTGACTGGCTGGGGTAAGAGTTGGGGAGGAGGGGTCAAGGTGGTGATGCTGAAACAGCAGGTCGAGGTTAAAGGTCAGAAGAGAGAGAGGCTGCAGTAGGAGGATAAGCTCCTCAAAAAGAGGCTGGCAAGAAGTGAGTGACAGACGCATGAAGGAAGTGGGGCGATAATATGTTTCCAACACATCTGCAAGACAGTAAAAAAGTTGTTATTATTATTATTATTATTAAAGGGTTAGTTCACCCAAAAATGAAAATTAAGTCATTAATTACTCACCCCCATGCTGTACCAACCCCGTAAGACCTTCGTTCGTCTTCGGAACATAAATGAAGATATTTTTGATTAAATTTGAGAGCTGTATAACTACCACATTGGCTCCTAAGGGACTGCCTCTTGACGGCCCAAAAAGTCAATGAAGAAAATGTTTAAATATCCCAAGTGACTACCGTGGCTCAACTATATGTTTATCAAGCGACGCAAATACTTTTTGTGCGAAAAAACAAACAAAAATAACGAGTTTATTCGACTATTTCTTTTCTTCCTTGTAGGCCAGAACGAGACTTCCTTAGATTTCCACAATGCATGCGCGAGAATTGCGATCTGAAGTAGTGCTGGTGTAAGCAAATCGCAAATCTCGCGCAATGCGTCGTGGAAATCTAAAGGAAGTCTCGTTTCTGGCCTACAAGGAAGAAGATAAATAGTCGAATAAACTCGTTATTTTTGTTTGTTTTTTCGCACAAAAAGTATTCGCGTCGCTTGATAAACATATAGTTGAGCCACGGTAGTCACTTGGGATATTTAAACATTTTCTTCATTGACTTTCTGGGCCGTCAAGAGCCAGTCCCTTAGGAGCCAATGTGGTAGTTATAC